TCTGCTGGAATTCACGCTCTAATTATTTCCAATTATAGTTCAGTTGGGTGATGAGGTGCTAAAGAGGTCTCCCATGGAGTGAAGGGGGTTGACTGCATGCAGACCAGAGAACCATCATGGCGTCTCCCCACAAGAGCTACGTGCCAGTCGGCACGCAGACTCGAAAGGAGGCGGGGTCAGATGCCTTTTTAAAATGGGAATTAGGTGGGGCAAGACTGGGATGCTTCCTCGGCTTACCAGAACAGGGGTTGTGGCCTCTTTGTTATGGCCTGGCTCCATTGCGTAACATCACGCTCCAAGAACAGCCTAATAGGATTTGATATCATCTCAGATAGTCTCCTGCTAACCTACTTCTTCCACTTCAGACCGTAGTGTCTGAGAATAGCTCTGTGTAGAAATAAGCAACAGTTGGTGATAGTAATCCTTCAACGTGTCCTGGCCTTGATCTTGCAAGAGGAGGTCTGAGGAAGCAAGCAGAAGGCTTAAGTGGGGTCGTGACACTCAGTAAAATCTAAGAGTTCTAGCTCTCAGCTGTTGCTTTGCTTGGACATTTACCGCTGTTTCATTCAGACATGGAAGGCTCTTTTCTGACAAATAAACAATAAAGTATGCTGTCTGGTTGATACTGACTTATGGCAGCCCTTTCTAGAGCTTTTTAGGTACAATTGCCCAGAAGTGGTTTATCAGGAGGTGCTCTCGGACCAGGTAGCTTGGCCCAAGGCTACTCGCACTGTCTCTTCTTCCAGGAGACACAGTGGAGAATTGAACTCCTGACCTCTGGCTTTGTAGCCAGGTAATCAGCTCACTAAACTATCTAGCCAGTTCTTCTGACAGCTAAGGGTGCAAAATTCATATTCATAGGGTTCTGTGGAACTGCTGCAGAGGCAAAAACCCACCCTGCATGCAAGTTATTCTGAAAGCATAGAGAGACTGCCAGTCGGCATCAATATACCGAGCCCATTGCTGGCTTAATAGTTCAGTAAATTAGCTATCTGGCTGCAGAGCCAGAGGTTAGGAGTTTAATTCCCCACTGTGCATCCCAGGAGAAGATCCAACCTGTGTACCCTTGGGTGAACTTCACAGGCTCAAAGCAACCCCATAAGAAGAGACTGGTAAATCACTTCTAAGTCCCATATACATTCGTGCCCTGCTTAACGATTAGTTCGCATTACGATGAATCCGCTTCACAACAATGTTTTTGCGATCGCAATTGCGATTGCAAAACAATGTTTTAAATGGGGTTTTTCACTTTGCGAAGATCAAAACAGCTGATAGTTGGGGTTTCAAAATGGCCACCGGATGCTCAAAATGGCTCCCCGCTGTGCTTAGGGACGGATTCCTCGCTATTACAGGCACCGAAAATGGCCGCCGTATGGAGGATCTTCGCTGGATGGTGAGTTTTTAGCCCATTGGAACTCATTAACTGGGTTTTAATGCGTTTCAATGGGTTTTTATTTTCGCTTTATGACGTTTTCGCTCTACAGTGATTTCGCTGGAACGAATTAACATTAAGTGAGGCACCACTGTACTTAGAACACCCTGAAAAAGGTTGCCATAGGTTGAATTAATGACATCACATAATTGTTAGGCGAATCAACTCTGGGTAAGACAAGGTCTGTGGTTAGGCAATATCTTTTTTAGATTATTAAGGAGTTACAAATAAGAGCGTTGCCATACATCAGAGGCAACTTGACAGCACATAACAGCAACAAATAACACAAGCTTTCAAGTTCTGTGGAACATGTCATCAGGCAAAGGTGTTATAAAACATGAAAATTAAGGCAAGTACTGTAATTCAAAAATTACTGTGATGCCTTTAGCTTGAGAAGCCAGACTGCCAACAAGACAGTATGGAGATTAGATTCTTCATGAGCCAAAGGGCACAAAGATATCAATTAGTAGTTCTTCCTGGCCTTGTGGAGTTTGTTACTATGAAAGGGTCACTTGGCCAGTTTTTGTATGGGTAGAAGACAGTTGGCTGGATAGTTTTGTGAACTGGGTATCTGGCTACAGAGCCAGAGGTTAGGAGTTTAATTCCCATTGTGCATCCCAGGAGTAAAACCAACTCTTTGTGGCCTTGGGCAAGCTGCACAGTCCTCAGATGCCCCCAGAAGAAGGTAATAGTAAACCACTTCTCAATATTCTTTACCTGGAAAACCCAGGAAAGGATCATCATAAGTCAGAATTGACTTTTCAGCACACAATTATTATTATTATTATAAGATAGTGAGCTGGAACACCCTGGCAGGGGGGAGGAGTTTGATTCCCCACAGTGATTTATAGAAGAGCCAACCTATGTGATCTTGGACAAACAGCATGATCTCTGAGCACAGCCAGAAGGAGGGAATGGTACACTTCTTCTGAGTAAATCCCTGGCAAATGTTGTGATAAGTTACAGCCTGATGGCACATAATCATTATTTATAAAACAGTTTCCTAATATAGCCTTGACAGTTATATACTATCACGCTTTATTGAAACTTGGGAGAGTTACTTTTTTGATCGCAGCTCCCAGTATCCCTCATCCAGCATTGCATTCCTAAGAGTTGTGGTCCAAAATAGTAGATTTTCCTGCTTCTACTCCTGATTTACCTACCTCACCATCTCTAATCTTTAATTAAGGGCCCCAAGATATTTATGAACAATCTTAGATAATAATAATCTTAGAATTTGAGATTTCAGCTGCTTATATTCTCATTATTTTAGGAAATGGGTTAAAAGCAAACCTGAGTATTCATGATAAAAAGGTCTGATGAAGCATTCATAAGACTGGTTCAGGACACCCAGATCTATCAGAGAGGTGTCTCTATTTTTGTTGTCTCTGACACATCACATGGATGGGTTGGCTGACCTGGTCAGTTGCATTGTTTTTCCCTGCAAAGAAAGGCCACATGCCAGCCTGATCCTCTGCTAAGGAGGCTTGGGCACAACGTATGGATCAGGGTGGGGTCGGGGGCAGAAGGCGACTTAGTTTTAATGGAAGCTGACAACTGCCCTTGAAGACAGGCTAAATAGGGCAAGGTTGACTGCAGCAGGAGCTTGTTGGAGCCCCGGAAATGTCTCTTCCAATCCTATCTTGGCTGTGCTGTTTTTCCATTTGTTCTTTTCCCCCTTGAGAAAAGTTCGCTTCCCCTCAGACTGATTTGTTTCTGTTTTAAAATGAAGCATTATACCTCATCTCTGCCAGGAATCAAATTTAGGACATTTAATTTACACGTTCAGCTTGGGCCAGAAAGCTAGGGCTAAACATTTTCACACATGGTATTAGTGATGCCTTTAGACCTTTTCTTAATCTTGTTTATGAATATGGATAATGCAGTATGAAAGGTGAAAGACAGCAATATTAAACATTTAAATTTAATTAGCATTTTGATTTGAATTATAGTCGCAGAATATATAAAGGAGATAACTTCTTTTCACTTCCCAGGATCTTAGATACCTCTTTTGAGTGACATTGAACAAACAAGAGCGTGAATGAGTGTGTCTAATTTTGTCTCCATATAGAAAAGGTGGCTTACAGTAGCATGGACTAATACAGGCAATGATTCACTATTTTTGAGATGTGGCTTCAGCTACAAGAGTAGGGAACATGATATTAGACAAATAAAGTGTACGTTCATTCTTTATACCCCAGAACAACTCCAAGATACCTTAATGCTATAGTCTGGAAACATTTGTTTTTAAGAGTACCAGCTGGAGGATTCTGGGAGTTGTAGTCAAACAAAGTAAATTGTCCAGGGTCTTCTTACAATGATTTCAAAACAAGAACTCAAGCACAATGGAAGATAGTCAGAATAGCAGGAACAGGCAACCAATCAAGAGCAATCTGAGCAAAATAAAGTGAATTCCATCCAAAGGGAGATACGGATGAGGCATTACACGCCTGAGTGGGTAGGGAGAATTCTAGAAATATGGGGTCACCACTGAGAAGTTCCTGTCTCTAATATTGACCAGTCTAATGATTCTTGATGGCAGTCGAGAGAATGGAGCTTTGTAGGCTGCTACTAAGGCCTAAAGCGACATGGTGGCACTGCAGGCTAAACCGCAGAAGCCTCTGTGCTGCAGGGTCAGAAAACCAGCAGTCGTAAGATCAAATCCACGCGACGGAGTGAGCTCCTGTCGCTTTGTCCCAGCTCCTCACCAACCTAGCAGTTCGAAAGCATGCAAATGCGAGTAGATAAATAGGTACCACCTTGGTGGAAAGGTAAAACAGCGTTCCCTAGTCACGCTGGCCACGTGACAACAGAAACTGTCTTCGGAATAGCGCTTGAAAATGGGATGAGTACCACCCCCTAGAGTCGGACACGACTGGGCTAAAAATGTCAAGGGAAACCTTTACCTTTACCTTACCAAGGACTGAAGGCAGCCAGCCATTAGAGTCTTTAAAAGTCACAACCAGCACTTTAAACTTCAAAAATGGGTAGGAAACCAGTGTGTGGTATTGATTCAATTGTGAACAATGTACTGTACTTGGTTCCTTCAGGCATGATCAGTCAGCTGCTCAATAAAAATTTGGGATTTGTGCTTTCTGGAGTAATTAAACAACCTCGTGTGTATGTATTCCATGCAAACACAGGAAAAGCTACTGAATTTGCTCTCAGACTGCAAAATTCAGCATTCTGACAACTTCTTTTGGTTGTTTAAAACGCATCTATCGTCCATAGGGCTGTAAATATACAGTTCTAAATAGCTTGGAAAATGCCTGGTAAAGTCTCTGTAACGTGGGCATACTCTGTAGGATTTTCATTTCATAGTATCTTCTGTAATAAACAGTTAAACGAGTGGATGCGGATGTATTTAATGTGCATAATCTATACAGATCACAGGACTGGCATGTTTTCTATGCAGGCTTTTAGCTACTTAGTAAAGGAGTATTGTTCTTTATAGTGTAGGATCTGCTATTCTACATTGTTCTGTATATAACAGAATTATTGAATCTTGTACATGGTGTCTTCTCTCTTCCACCCCCTCCCTTTCTTTCCCCTCATTACATTCCCATAGTGCTTTGCTCTGAACGGGTTGGAAGAATCACCAAGACGTACCACGATATAGATGCAGTCACCAGCCTGCTGGAAGAGGTGCCTCTCCATTGCTACTCTTTGCTTTCAAACACAATGCTAAGTGCTGTGCATGGTAATGGCATGTCTTGATTATTGAGGCACTTGATCCTTGGGGAGGTATCATTGTTCAGTATTCATGAACAAAACTTGGAAGTAACTAGTTAAATAGTTAATTCCTTCCCCCTAGAATTAAGATAGAGTTACATTACATTTCTATAGTAACTCAGTGAGAAATAATTTGTTTTCAAGATGCAACTGTAAGCCTTTAGTTACTTTTATAGCTCTTGAGGTGTAGTTTCCCAAAATGGTAAAGAAAGAACATCACACAGTTGAAGTGCTGTGCCTCAAGCCGTTGGCTGGGAAGAAAATCTTCGCTGTGTGTTTTTAAATAACTATTTTACTTACTTTGGAGAAACAGTGTACAGTAGTTAAGAGGCTTTTAAAAAACCTGTATTTATAAAAGTAGCGAATTACTTTGGAGGGTTTAGAAATGAGACCTATAGCTTCTCAGCTGTGGCCTGGAACAGTTCCACAAGAAGGGTTTTGATTTGGTGTGAGAAAAGGAATGGAAGAATCTATGAGAAGGTTTTGGAGAACCATGAGCAAATTCAGGTGGATGGGAGGGAGTGGAGATAGGAGGAGGTGTGGGAAGAGGGAAAAGAGGCTCTTACTCTTGCTACTGCATCTTCTCCGTCCCCACAGAAGGAACATGACCTAGAGTTAGCAGCACGCATTGGGCAGTCCTTGTTGAAGCAGAACCGGAGTCTGTCAGAACGCAATGAACTGTTGGAAGAACAACTTGAATTGGCGAAGGAGGAGGTAAGGAGAGACTTTCTGTGTCTTCAGCAGAAAACAGAATTGTTTGGTTGCAGAATGGGGAAATGGTTATGGAAATAAGGTAGTACACTCCCAGAACTGAACCAAACAGGAAATTCTGGTGATGTTTTTTAGGTTTGATCTCAATAATGAGCTGTCCAGGTTGCTTAGACTTCACCTCATAGAAGCCCCAGGCGACATGGCCAGTAGTTGGAGATTTTGGCTATTGAAGTCCAGAACACCTGAAGAGCCAAAGTTTGAGAATCACTGTTTTAAAGTTACTTTAGAGACCTCAAATGTTGTTTGCGTTTGGGTCCCATTGTCTGGCAGCTCAGGGCAGCAGGATTATCTTTATCCAATGTTATTCTCTCAAAAATTCTGCAATGTAGTCACTCTTGTTGGTTTTTTTTGACTGAGTAACAACTTAAATCCTCATTTCCTCATGCTTAGTATGTAATTTTAAGCATTGCATTACAGAAGCTTTATCCAAGATGTATAATCACTGGTTTAAAAAAAGTCTCTTATTTCCAGCCGAACTTAATGTTGGAAAAATGGGAAACTGAGCAAATCAAGATTGACAGATCACAAATCTATACCCTTAGTGTCCGTGAAGGTTTTTCCCTCCTTACTTCAAGCTAACTACAGAGTACTCGTATTACACATGGATTTAAGGGGCAGAGTAGAGGGGGTAATGGTGAGGCAGGTTAAATTCTGTTTAGGGCTTCACCTCATCTGAATCCCTTTGCTTTTTGCACCCCAAAGATTGCACAGCTGCGACATGAAATTGCCATGCGCGATGACCTTCTGCATCTCTACACCAACAGCACTGAGGAGAGCGAGCCAGCCTCTTCCACCCCCACTCCGTGAGTATCCAGATGGAACAGCAAGGTGTACAGTAAGCAGAATGGCCTCTGTGCAGTCTGCCTTGAGTGCCAGTTTTGAGAGGTGTGGTATTACAAAAATAACTAGATAAATAAATACATACATAAATGCAGTGGGAGAGGATATGGAGGGAAGGGAGAAATATCTGTCAAGAATTCTTCCATTTATTTCTACAATTTATCCTCCATTTTTCAACCTGCAGGTCACATAGTGGCCAGCTTGTGTTTTCAAATATATAATTCAATTAAATGCAACATTTGAAGCAGTAAAACCCCAATCATTTATAACAAGGAACTGCTTTGCTAGAGAGGGGAGAGAGAGAGACAGCACTAAAGGAGGAGGGGAGAGCCTTATTTTTTGGAAAACCGTGTTCCTGAAATGTTCCCTTAATGAAAGGACCTAACCCAAATCAGGTTAAAGCAAAGCTAAAAAAAGAAAGAAAAAGTGTGTTGCTTATATACCGCCCCACAGCACTTAAAGCACTCTCTGGGTGGCCTACAATTTAATTATGCATGGTACACATTGCCCCCCCCCATTAACTACCCCATATTCTTCTCAAAGAAATCCTGTGAGATGGGACAGGATGGGAGGCAGTCTCCCAAGGCATGCCCATCCATCAGTTACAACTTCATTCTTCTTAGCTCAGCATTTGTGTTGAGTTCCAGGTCACAGAGCCCTTCCTTATACAGTGGTGCCTCGCTTTACGATTGCCCCACATTACGACAAAACCGCATTACGACGATCTTTTTGTGATCACAACTGCGATCGCAAAACAATGGTCTGAATGGGTTTTTTTCGCTTTGCGATGATCTGTTCCCTGCTTCGGGAACTGATTCTTCGCAAAATGACGATTTTCCTCCAGCTGATCGGTGGTTTCAAAATGGCCACCGGATAAATAAAATGGCTCCCTGCTGTTTTATGGGATGGATTCTTCGCTGCACAGGCACTGAAAATGGCCGCCCTGTGGAGGATCTTCGCTGGACGGTGAGTTTCCAGCCCATTGCAAAGAAATCCTGTGAGATGGGACAGCATGGGAGGTAGTGTCCCAAGGCGTACCCACCCATCAGTTACAACTTCATTCTTCTTAGCTCAGCATTTGTGTTGAATTCCAGGTCACGGAGCCCTTCCTTGTACATAAGAATATCATCAGGTTCCATTGAGTGTGTACAAAGTGTCTTTCTCACTATGCATTAACTGCAGCCAGGCTCTTAATCCATTTAGGAACAGAGGTGTCATATTCCTAGTGGCTTTCCAATAGACCCTCTTCTTCTGGCTCTAGAAATTTGGGACTTGATTCAGCCAAATGAGGAACCACTTGCGACACTTGCCTTCTTATGGGCCTCCTCTCTTTCCATAACAGGTTACGAAGGAATGAGTCTGCCTTCTCTTTGCAGCAGTGTTTCCAATATGATGCCCTTCAGCAGAAATTAAAAGGACTGGAAGAAGAGAACCAGGCCCATTGGAACACACTGAAGGGGTTTCAATGTGTTTCAATGGGCTTTTTATTTTCGCATTACAACATTTTCGTTCTACAGCTATTTCGCTGGAACGAATTAATGTCGTAATGCGGGGCACCACTGTACATAAGAACATCATCAGGTTCCATCAAGTGCGTACAAAGTGTCTTTATCACCATGCATTAACTGCAACCAGGCTCTTAATCCATTTAGGAACAGAGGTGTCATATTCCTAGTGGCTTTCCAATAGACCCTCTTCTTCTGGCTCTAGAAATTTGGGACTTGATTCAGCTAAACGAGGAACCACTTGCGACACTTGCCTTCTTATGGGCCTCCTCTCTTTCCATAACAGGTTACGAAGGAATGAGTCTGCCTTCTCTTTGCAGCAGTGTTTCCAATATGATGCCCTTCAGCAGAAACTAAAAGGACTGGAAGAAGAGAACCAGAAACTGCGCACAGAGGTGAGGGGCGTAGTTGCCCCGGGTGGCAGTTGTATGCAATGGCAATGGATGGTTGTACATAAAAGTGAAGTGAAATTGTAAATAATAGGTTATTTTTATCAGGAACGTAGCCAGATGATCAGTGGAAAGTGCTTGGGGATTATACCAGGTCCACCTTTGTCACGAGTGGGTTGAATACTTTCTGTAGCAGGGAGTGCTTTTTATCACACTCGGCTGGTTCACCAACTCCAGTTTCTTTGAGACAAGGGTTCGTCTAGTTACAGTCATTTGTGCCCTGGTGCCCGTCTCCCAAACCTGGATGGCTGTGGGGATTTGAGGGTGGCTCAGGAACATCAGCAGGGAACAATCGTTGTCAGGATTTTCATGGGCACAGCCTAATCATATCATATCCCTAGTGGTGAAAGATGTTTGCCTGCTGCCTGGCTGCTTCTGAACCTAATCCAAAGTAATTGTATGAACTTCTCAAGCTCTAAATAACCAGCTTCCCAATGCCTGAATGAGTACCTTTTCCCATACCGTCTTGTTCACAGACTCAGATCATAAGGGGAATATCCTTCTCTGTTTGTGAAGGATGAAGTGAGAGATCATTAGAAAGAGGGATTGACCATGGCACTGTGTCTATGGAATACTAGGCATAAGGAAGCTGTCCTGTCACTTAGTCTTTGAGGTGCTAGCCTCAAAGCCCTTCTTATATTCCCAGTATTTCACATTTGGATATTTTAAAATCTTGTTTATTGTCTGGTTTTTGTTATCTTTCTTTGTTTTACTATTGTTTTGTTACTTTAATGGTTTAAATTACCCTGGAGCCAGACCCAGGATTGAGTGACATGTCAATAAGTTAAGTAAATAATAAATAACAAGAAACTAAAAGAAAAGTGGATGACAACCAATGTTTAGATTTGCACAACAATCCTGCAACACTCTACAGCTGCTTACTACAATATTTTCTTATTCTGTGTTCTGTAGTTTTGTTAATAGATATTTAAAAAGCCCCTTGCCCTGTTTAGCTCTTAGAATTCCTTGTTTCATCAGCACAGTTAGAGGGGAATGCTGTGCCTACCTGCCTTCCATCATCACTTTGTTCACACGATGCCAGAGGAATCTGAAGAGGAGAGATGGGTGTTCATAAGTAGGCTCTACACCTGAGCAAGCACTCTGGAAAATCTGGATTCTTGCTCCCTTGCAGAGCCTACACAAGAACAGGAACTTCTCCAGGTTACACCTGTCATTGCATGAACAAACCAACGTTGTATTGATGAAAACGGAAATTCTAACAATTAAATGGAGTTACATCTATGTCTTATGAGCTCTATTATCCAAAGGAAACTAAGCACGCTAGACTGGAGTGGTGCAGCGTCTGATATTGGATGGAAGGCCCCCATGTTCTTCCACTTACATCTGTAGGAAGGAGTTGCATGTATCAAGCAACTGATGTGCCTCCTCAGGCAATAATGGCGCATGTAATCGTGATCTCCTTGTGGACAGTAATGGGTCTTATTCTGAGTTTGTCTGCTTCTGCTATAAAGCACACTGTCTGTATACACTGCTGTGTAAATAACAATGAGTAGATTGAAAATCCATTGAGCTACATTATTGTATTTAGTTCATTATACATGTATGGCCCCCGTACTTTATCTTGTGGCTTGCTGAAAACTAGTAGTGAAAAAAAAGGATTCTAATAAATTCCAAAATATGCATAAGGACAATAGTTTTTAGCTTAGGCCTATTCAAATGTCATGGAAAACAGACAGCCTTTTGAATTGTCTAGATCTCTTCATCAGGCTGGATGTTATAAAAAGAATAAGGGGGAATAGAGTGGGGAACCCAGTGACTTAACATTGAAGAAATGAAGATTGTATGAGCAAAGATTCAAGATGAAATGTGGGATTTGGTTACAGGCTTTCAGTTTAGCCTCTACCAGGTTCTTTGACAGCTTCAGGCCGTCCCTGGATTAAACAACTTATTTATTTCCTTATGATCCCTCATGTTTGAAAATATAAAATCCAGCTGTTAAATTGAGAGACTAACTGGGGGCTGTGCTATCTTGAAAAGCACTTGTTAAATTAAAAGAAGCAACTGCTGACTGGCAGTTCCTAAGCCAGAACTAGCCCTCATTCATGATCGTTCCCCTTTTTAAAAACAATTTCAGAAAAGGTTACATTTGGGTTCTGCTCTTAAGACAAAGGTAACCTTTAAGATGTGTTCACATTTTCCCCCTCAAAAGTTGGAAGAAACAATGGCATTTGAGGTTTCGGTATCTCCTCATCTGGGGCTTTCTATGGAATGCAGCATCTGTGCCCGTGTGGAGGTGCTTTTGTTGAAGTGGAGAAGCATCACAGGAAGCAGTTTGTGTGGTACTTGTGGGTCTTGGACCATTTCCCAGAAAATATAGAATAGCCCCTAAGAATATGGAAGATGATCCAGAGTGTCTCCAGGTGTTAGGCTGCTCCTAATATCTGAAGTACTGCTACACTTTCACAGCTTCCCAAAGAATATCCCGAGGAATGACAATCCATTTCTGTGTCTCCATCCTAGGTTGCAAGCATTGCTACGGAAACCTGTCAATATGAGGAACAAGAGCAGAAGCTGATGATCGACTGTGTGGAGCAATTCTGTAGGTCTCAATCTGACAGAATGGTGGTGGGGATGATGATGGGAATGGTTTAGACAACATTTCTCCCTAGTAGGCCTTTATAACGCCAAATGCTCCAGTGGGAAAGCCAGAATGCCTTCTAGTGAAGGATACAATATAATATGTGATTCATTCAGCTTTGTATTCTACCTGGCTTCTTGAATAAGGATAGAGAAACAGCATTCTGAAATAAAACTAGGCCCTTGTTTCCCTTTAAGGAATCACAAGTGATCAGGGTGAACCTGGAATGGGGAATCTGTGGCCCTCTACATGTTTTGTGTAACAGTCTCCATAATCCCTGTCCTTTGGTGATGCTATCTGTGGCAGGTAGCTGTTGACGTGCAACGACATCTTAAAGGTACTAAGTTCCCAAATGCCCCGATGTCTGCAGACTTAGAAACCCAAGAGAGGGAACAAACATTATTCCACCTTCCCATAACCAGCCCTCTGTCACCTCTGCCATCATTAACTATTTGCCAATATTGTAAAGCTCATAAAGAGTAATATATTAAAATATTATAAACATATAACTGTGACTTATCTATTAAATATGTGTGATTAAAATATTCACAGTTCTATTTGCTTGTTATTTTGTTACCAAAAATTAATTTTAAAAATACATTTATTTAAATACATTTCATTTTGTTTATTTGTTTGTTTGTATCATTTGTAGGTCACCTTTGTCCTGATGAGGGGAGCTAAGGCAGCTCACAGTGTTAAAATAAATGGCACTATAAGCACAGTTATCTCTCTGGGGGTGTGGAACTGATGAAAACATTCCTTAAATATGTCACTTACCTTGAAAATCCAAGTTGTTATAAGTCAGTTTTGACTTGACAGCACATAACATATTTGCATACATATTTGCTTATACATTCCCTCCAAAAATGAGATTAGCTTTAGTCCCAGTCTTCTCTTATGGTACAAGATGATAGAGGCAGTTTTCATAGCAGAGTTCTAACCGTACTGAATCACTGGGGTTTAATGGAGGGTTGTTTGGGATAATACGAAGGGCAGCTTCAAATGAATTCATGTTATGGATGGTCCTGACAGTCATTGGAGAAGCATGGGACAGATGGCAGGAGCAGAAAATCTGTATGGAGCAGAGATCAGACTGTGGGTGATGGGCTTTGGCTGTTGGCCTTTCACCTTCCTGGGTTCATCAAAGGATGGATGGTATGGTAACCATGCAGTTTCGCCCCTTTGTGTAGCTGATGCCAGCCGAGAAGTCGTCCTGCTCTCTGAAGAGCTTGCCCGCAAGACAGAAGACACCGCCCGCCAGCAGGAGGAGATTAGCCAGCTCCTGGCTCAGATGGTAGACCTGCAGCAGAAGTGCCGTATGGTAAGCAGAGGGATTGGATTGGAGCCAGAGACGGGGAGGGGCTTGATTCACTGGCCAACAGTAATGGCTCCTCATCCTAAAACAAGGCTCTTCCTGTTCAGTCAAAAGACAACTCGGGGGATGTGGGCTGCTGATGAGCAATGCCAGCATCTCTACTGGCCAATAGTGGCTCTCAAGCACAACAGGCATCTACTGCATTGGCTGTGATGGGAATACTGAGAGTTCTGCAAGAATGGCTGGATGATAGGATGACACTGCTTCCTTTTTTCTCGCTGCTCTTTCTAGAAGCTATTCCTCGATTTAATGGCATCACAATGGAGGGAAGCAGGGTGAGCCTTGTCAGAAGGTGTGAAACACATTTAGTTGCTGCCATGTTTAATCACAGAGGGATGCATACTTTAGGCTAGCAGGCATAGGTTGCTCATAAGAAGGCTGCACATTGTTGATGCATTTTCTGTTAATTCAGGGAGGGTGCCATCTGGCTTTTCTGCCTTGCCATCGAAAACAGATCTCTGGGGAGAATGTAGAAAAGGCAAAAGTCTACAGAATAAGCTTATTTTCTAGGTGATTCACACATTTCCATACATGTTTCTCACACCGACTTTCTTCCCCCTAGCAAAACATACACATTAACAAATCAAAATGCTGATAAAGCACAGACTTCTCTCGCTTGCCCCAGATGGAATTTTGTTGCTCAGCTATCCCTGTCTGGATGTCCTTTATATGAGTTGGGTTACAAGTCCCATCACCCAGCCCCTGCTTAGCCATGTCTGGGATTTCCCCCCATTCATTGCACGGCAAAATGTGCATGTTTTAAATAAAAGTGGTCACCTCCTACCTATATCTTCCTCTCATTTAATTGCTCTGCATCTCTCCATCTTTCTTCAACTGGACTCTGAAATCAGAAATAAATCACCACTGGCAGAAAGGGTGAACATGGTTTGGACATAAGGGGAGAGGACGTGGTGGCGCTGTGGGCTAAACCATAGAAGCCTGTGCTGCAGCGTCAGAAGACCAGCAGTCGTAAGATCGAATCCACGCGATGGAGTGAGCTCCCGTCGCTTTGTCCCAGCTCCTCGCCAACCTAGCAGTTCGAAAGCATGTAAATGCAAGTAGATAAATAGGTACCACCTTGGTGGGAAGGTAAAATGGCGTTCCCTAGTCACGCTGGCCACGTGACAACGGAAACTGTCTTTGGACAAACGCTGGCTCTACGGCTTGAAAAATGGGATGAGCGCCGCCCCCTAGAGTTGGACATGACTGGACTAAAAATGTCAAGGGGAACCTTTATCTTTACTTAAGGATCTTTTCCTTACATGAACATTTATTTATTGTCCTACCTTTCTCAAAGAGTTTAGCAGGATGTAACAAGGGGTGTCTTCCCCACCATGAGATGCTTGTGAAATGGATCAGGCTGAAGGATGGCCGCTGACCTAAGATTCCACGATTCCACTAGATTTGAGATATTTGTGTGCCGTGTCTAGTTTGACACTGAATGAGGTTTCTAACTGTTGATTTAAGAACACGATTCCACTAGATTTGGGATGAGTTATTTGTGTGCCATGTCTAGTTTGACAATGAATGAGGTTTCTAACTGTTGATTTAAGAAAACTAATCTCAAACGAGTAGGAGAATTGTATCAGTGTATTGAACTCTTAATATCATTTTTCCAGGGGAGGGGAAGATGGGCTATTTATATTAGAAACAAGTTCTGTATGCTTTACTGAAATGAATGTATTGGCTTTGTTCTGGCTTCAAAAAATTCTTGAGGGGCTATCTTTGAATGACAGCCCTTCCCAGATCCTGCAAACAGGCATGGCCATGCTGCAGAGATCGGTCTCCTAGACCTTGAGCATGGGGCTATTTAGAAGCCTTAGTCAATGCAAAGGATGCTTGGTAAATGCTTGGTGATGTTTTCTTTATTTTAATTGCCCAGTATGGTTCTGAAGTGGAGGAACTGCAGCAACACCGCACTGCTGACAAGGAGGTCCAGCAACAGCTACGCAGTGAGGTAGGTGCCAGGAGCAAGGAGTGGCAGATTACCTTTGTCTGGCTAATTATTTGTCTGCCTGTTCCATTTCTCTCCCACCTTTCTGCCAAGGAGCTCAAAGAAGTGTGTACGGTCTTCCTCCTAAATCATAGCCTCACAACAACCCTGCGGTGTAGAGTAGGTTGAGAAAGAGAGACCAGCAGAAGATCAGCTAATATGACCTTCATGTCAAAGGAGGGATCTGAATCCGGGTCTCCCAGTCCCAGAACAGAACTATAGCCAGCTTACTAGTCTACTCCGGATGTGGCCTGAACATTTATTGTGGAGCAAGATGTGTGACTGTGTTGGGATTAGAGCCTGGGCTTGCCCAGTCCTAGTCCAACGCAAACCATTGCATCTTATGGAGAGGAAGGTGAGAACAGTGGAACACTCCTGTGTGACCTGAATCGTTTCTTGTACTAGCCTGTTGTGGCTTCCTTACCCCACTCACCCCGTGCAGCTCTTCCAGTCATTCCAGTTTGGGAACAATGCAAAGAGTTCTCTATTAAGAGATCTGTAGCTCTGCCACACAGAACCAGAGGACGTGACTGAACTCGTTTTTCTGTAGTGCAGCTGTATTGCTTGCAGTGCAAATTTTAAGGAATTACCATAGGGGCTGATATGACAGCTGAAAGACATGACTCAAGCTTCGTCAGGCGTTTTCATTAAAACCAGAATATGTCAACAGTGTATTAATTGGTGCACAAGTATTGATTGCAAAGCAGTTTAAGAGGAAAAGTGTTCAATGGGGAATCCCTTGTGTTCTGTTCATAACACACACACACACACACACACTTTTAATTAGTTCACTTGCCTTCTCACATACCTCAAACGGGGCAGCTTCTAACTTGTGTTCTCCCTCCCACAATGTCACTCCAGCTGCAGGATCTGCAGGAGAAATATACAGAATGTGGAGCAATGTTGCAGGAAGCCCAGGAGGAGATTAAAAACCTCCGGAACAGGAGCCTTCCAAACAGCACCATCCACCGCCACAGCTCCCCAACTTTCTTACCCCTGGTGAGGACTGTGCGGGACTGTGGGCGGGCAATAATAATACCGTTTTGTTACTGATTTCTGCTAGGTAATATTGGGGTGAGAGAAGAAGAATGTCATTTAACATGTAAGGAAGGATTTCTCTTATAAGGCTGGGCACAGGGACTGCATCTTTCATCCTGCTGTCTCTAGCCTGAAATATCAATGCAGGATCACTTTTTGAGCTTCTGGTCCTAAGAGAGCAGGAGAGAGAGAGGAGGGAACGGCAGGCGTTCTTCAGGGCTTCATCTGAGCTGGGACAGTAGTGGCCAGTGCTTACTGGGTTTGGTGAGGCAGAAGGCATAAACAGACACATGTGGACCCACATTCTCCCTGTGTGCCATTCTTACTCTCCCAGACCCACTCAATGGCAGGCATATGGTGTGTACCCGCATGTACACACAGACAGAGGCCCCCTGCCCTTGGTAAGAAGCCAGGCAGGAGTGGGATGGGTGGGAGCAGCCTCATCATCTGGTGGGCCAGCGCCTCACTTGCCTCAATAACGAGCAATTCAACTAGGGCCTGTTCAGGAGTGAATCAGGATCACAATCTATATCCCTGTCCCCCACGCCTAATGTGAAATCTAGCCATGTTTGAGCACTGCAGTATAATTACTTCCATTTGCAGACTCTAGGGTAGTAACCCTCACTGGCAAATTAATGCAGTTAATTGTTTTGAAGTTGTGGAAGGCCAGGTGCAGCCTATGGGCTGCCTGTGACCCTTTCTGCTGTCATCCTACCACCCTGACTCAGGGTAGGATCAGGTGGTGATATAACATGTGTCTGATGATGCTGGAAAGGGTCGTTTCATTGGGAATGATCACCTTAATAATGCTTCCATGCGCACTGGAATTGTTCCAGTCCAGCTCCAACATAGAATAGCCCTGCCAGTGGATGCTGTCCCCCCAAAAAAAAGAAAGAAAAAAGGTCCAGATTGGGCACAGAGCAGATTCGGGTTGATTTGCGACTTCCTGTGTATCATATGATCACTGACTAACAACTCAAACAGGACTGTGCCACAAGCAGTCCAAAGCATGAGCTAAATCTCCATCTGATCCATGCCCTCACTGTGAAAAAGAATTTCTGCCCCCTAATGGCTGTTCTTAGCCCCAGACTCTAGCAGGCACAGGTGGCCATTTTGCAGCATTTTGGCACCCTGTGTCTCTTTAGGTTTGGAGTGGGGTCCCAAAGCTAGAAGTGATCAACTGGGTTAAGGAGATGGGAGCAGCCCTCTGAGGTCGCCCACAGGGGCGGCTCCCAGATCTCTGAAGACTGTCCACTCCTGATTTAAAAGGGTGATCAAGATGGATTCATTTGTTAGATATTGGCTTGAATACTGTACATCAGATGAAAGCTTTTCCGGACTTAGCTCTACTTTCCACTCCATTTTCACCTAAGGAGCAAGAATGAAAGAGGAACAGATGACTCCTCTGGCTTTCCAAGTACATGTACTTTTTGCCAATATAAACTCTCTTCCCCACCCCCACCCCGTTACATTTTTTTACAGGATTCTCTGGCTGCAGAGATCAAGGGCACAATGAGAAAGGGGGCGGACAGCTGTGGCTCTTCAGAGTACAAGTGAGTAGAATACAAAGTAGATTGATTTGATTTATATGTGCGTTTTGTGCTGTCAAGTCAGAACCAACTTAGAGTGACCTTAATAGGGCTTCCAAGTTAAGCAAGATATTTTAAGGAGTGATTTTGCCTGCTTCACTCCCCCACTTAGTTTCCATGGTCAAGTGGAGATTCGAACTCTGTTCTCCAGAATTCTAGTCCGTCACACTGGGAAATCTTTGATTTATATACCGTCCCATTAGTGCAAGCACTACTCTGGGCAGTTTGCGGGTTAAAAATGTAAACCCATAAGACCCCACATAACAGCATGCATTCAAAACAACATGGCAGTACACAAACAGTATTTAAATCATAAATATAAACAACCCTTAATGTCTATAAATTGTACAGAAAAAAAAGTTGACAGCATCCAGGAGATTTAGTTGGTAAAGGCAGCTTTAAATAATGCTGTCTTCAGCAACTTCCTGAATATGAAAGAAGGAGCCTGGTGTATCTCTTGGTAACTTACTCCAGGTTAAGCAGGTAGACTGTAGACACAAGGAGAAAAACCAGTTGTAAGAATAAGAAGGTCTCAGATGACGGTGTTATGGATACACCGCCATCTGAAGAGGGAAGATGGAAATGAGGCTTGGGGTCTGGAGGTGAAATTCAGAAGCAGGGACAGCTAACATTGGAAGGATAGCCTTATCCAGAAAGTAGGACTTTATGGCTACAGGCAGAAGGAAACACTGGCAAGGGACCTATGGGTTGGTGGCCGCCTTCAGGCAACTCTGTTTGACTGAAACTCTGGTGTTTCAATAACTTTGGGGGCTGTTGTGTCACACTGTCAGAAGGAGTGGCCAAAAGCCTGCTGTTCATTTTCAAGGACTGACTACAGCCTTGCCTTCTGTGTTGCTTCCTCTCAGGAGCTTCCGTCGGGTCTTTGAGACAGTGAAAGCTGTGAAGCAGGCAGCAAAAGCCAGATCACGGGCAGAGTCGCCGCTGAGTCTTCCTCCAGGTTCTCCAAAGCCTTCCTCATTGAGCTGCAGCCACCTGAGCACGCCTCGCACCAGCTACTATGGATCGGACAGTCCCACGGTGGGAGGGCTGGAAGGGCAGGAGGGCCAGCCTGCTGACGATGCCCAGTGAGTATCACAAGTATATAGAGCAAGTGGGATATCCTGCGTGGAGTCCATGAGAGCCTGCCCCCCAGCATTGTATCCATATTCTTTATTCCGGAGAGGAACAAAACCGATTTTCCCAGGAACGATATATTGCCCAAAATCCTCTTGTGTAAAGTGAGGCCCATGCAAGCTGATGGTGTCATCAGTCATGGGCTTTTATCACCACCTGATTGATGATTGATTTGGCAGGTGTGGTAAATCAAATGCGCGATGGCTAACCCAACCAGTTCTTGCAGCTGTAATTTGGCTTGGTGGGTGACCAGGTTTGCAGATCTGGTATAGTCTGAAGTAGAGCTATGGAAATAAGAGCTGGGGCTTTGGAACTATAGAGACGGAGCTGCTTTAGGAAAGGAGAAGTGGGAACCTACAGATCAGAGCTTGAAAAAAAGAGCTTGTTTGGACTATAGCTTGAGGCGCAACCCTGCAATACATCAACATATCAGCATGGCCATCCGGTGAATGTGTAAAGGGTAGTACTCACTGGCATGCAGGTGAAACTCATGTACAGTGGTGCCTCACAAGACGATGTTAATTCATTCCGCAAAAATCGCTGTTAAGTGAAAACATTGTCTTGCGAAACACGTTTTCCCATTGAAATGCATTGAAAACCTGATGATCCGTTCCAATGGCAATGGATTGTCATCGTAAAGCAAAAATTGCCATAGGAAACATCATTAAGCAAAACGCGGTTCCCAAGCAAAGACAGCCGTCTAACGAAACAGAGACCATTAAAAGACTCGTATAGCGAAGCAAGACCAATCGGTCAAAAACATCGTAAAGCAAAAAACAGGCACCTAAAATTTAACCGTCTTGCGATGCAAGGTCCCTAACATCGTAAAGCAAAAATTGCCCATAGGAAACATCATTAAACGATGTGCAAGGTCGCTCCGAAAACCTTATCATAAAGCGAATTCGTCATCAGGCGAAGCAATCATCTTGCGAGGAACCACTGTACTTATTCCTCTTCATTGCATATTATCTTCCCTGTCTTCGATCTCATGTTAGGGTGTAAGCTACTTGAGCAGAGGCCTGTTTCCTGTGAAGTGCCATAGATACTGAGGGTGGTGTTATACCTATACTTCTGTGCTTGGTTTATTTTAGCCGGAGTGAGAGTGGTCCATCAGGCACGCCTGCCCAGCAGGATTTGGAAGCTGCCCTGCAGTGCTTATCTGCTCGCCAGGAAAACCACAGCACTGAACGTTCCTTCTTTGAAATGGAGCGGGAATGTAAACTGAGGCGGCTGGCCCGGGACGCCGAGGACTCCAGTGGCTTTCTCACGCCCAACGACAGCATCACCTCCACTGGCACCAACTATTCAGGAAGCTCTGGTGGATCCGGCTTCTCTCTGGGCTCCTTCTCTTACTTCCCGGAGAAGCTTCAAATCATCAAACCTCTGGAAGGTTAGTGGGATAAAGGATGAAAATCCATAAAGTTTGGGGGAAGGGTAGTGTTGTCTGAGTATCCCTCTGTGCAGTTCACACATGTTTTTGTCAGAGTCTGGAAAAGTTACTTTTTGGATTCTAATTCCCAGAATCCCTCAAGGAAAAGCTGATTTAGGAAAAGTTATATTTTTAAAATTTAACTTCTAGAACTCCTGCATTTTTTTGAAGTACAAGTCCCAGAATCCCTCAGCTAGCATATCCTGGCCATGTTCCCTAGGGGACCCATCTTTCTGTCAGGACTGGAACTCAAGGCAGCTCACAATATGTGATTTTAAAAACAGATACAGCTAAGGAAAACAGAAATTTTGAATATCAATACCCCATATTTCTGTACTCAACCTTGAGATTTCATGATACGCGGAAGGATATAAATATTACTGATATTAATACAAGCAAACAAATTGAACTGTCATCTATAAAACAACAATGGAATTAAAGCACATTTAAATGCTTTCAGGGCTGGGCATGCATTTTGCAAATTGGCTTTAACAGAGGCAATCCTAATGATGCCAAACATGTCCGCCATCTTATCTCTCTTTTAGGGTCCATGACCCTACATCACTGGCAGCAGCTTGCCCGCCCTCACTTGGCAGGAATCTTGGACCCGCGGCCCGGTGTGCTCACCAAAGATTTCCGGCAGCTTGACACAGATGTGGAAGAAGTCTATAGCCTGAACGACCTGGAGGAAGATGAAGTGGACGTGAGCTCCTTCCCATCCCTTGCTACCTCGACACCGACCAAAGCCAAGGAAAGGCCTAGCGGTGAGTGAAGGGAAGAGGTAAATATATTCCAAAGATTCAGGGCTTGCGGTAGAGCAGACCAACGTTTGGGAAGGAGCAGATGTGACCCAATTCTGGTTGTATTGCAGATTAAATAGTTTTCAGGTGCCTATTAGCTACTTCTGTTTTTTAAAAAAAACACCTTATAACTATAATGAGGGTGTAAACAAATGGTTCAGTCATCTGCCTTAGTTAATGGCTCTTACGACCAATGTTCCACAGAAGTAGCTAATAGGCACCTGAAAACTAATGGCCATTGTTTCATCTTTTCACAAGATTAACTGGTCCCTGTCTTCTGCTGGTCTTGTGGCAGAAGGTTAGAAGAATAGAAGGAGTTCAGCAGGCAAAATTTAATCTTAGTATCAGCATCGTAAGTCTCTCACAGGAGCAGGCAAGCACCTTCCTGACATGTTGGACCTCAACTAATGGCTAGGCTAGCTTGGGCTTATGGGAGATGCATTCCCCAACATCAGGAGGACCCCAAGTTGCCTGTCCCTGCATTACCTGGCAGTGGATGAATAAAACAGGGTCACGAGGTGATTCTGTGGAGTCGGGCACCCTTTATGTTAATAGCCTTCAAACCAGTAAAGCTTTTCAGTGAATAATCTGAAAAGAAGTGGCAGAATTTCACAGGGGAATGTGAGAATATTTAGTTCTCTCCTTTTTTTTAGCATTGATAAAATTTCACCACCCCACTCCCCTCAGGTATCCAGGCATCTGTCTGTCCATCTCCACATCCTCCCACCCCATTCATTAACCCTTCATTTTCCTGTCCGTTTCAGTCTTTCACTCCGTTAACAATCTGCCCCAGACCCCGCCTACTTTCACCATCACCACTTGTTGCATCTTGCACCCTAGCAACGAGGTCACCAAGGTGACCCACAGGTAAGCATTTTGGGGTCCTTCCCGTTGACTTTCCATCCTTGCTTTTGCCCCCCCCCCCGCATCATTGCCATGGAGGATTTCCCCATGTCCGGATGTGCCTCTGTGTGTATGCCACTTTGTTTTAACTGTCTTCTTGCATCTCCCTCCCTTCCTCCATGTTGGATCCTGGCATCTAGGCACTGCTGCTCCCGGTATGGGCATCTCCTGCAGCCCCTGACACATTGATGGGGGGCTTTGAAGTAAGAAACCCCTCCCAGCCTCTTTTCTCTCTCTCCTACTTAGGAAGAGCTGGACAGGGTAACACCCTTCTCCTTATTTCCTCCTGAACTGTGCTGGCATGAGGGAGCCACTGATGATGGCTGTAGGGAGGAGGAGGCCCCAACTGGGAAAAATTAAAATTCTAGGAACGGGGAGGTGAACTTGGGGGCATTGGTGAACAGAAGTTGGAATCCATGTGGAGTTTCAGTTCCTACAGTTCCGTGATGTCAGTCTTGGAGGTTCTTTTCTTTAATCAAAAGAAAAGATACTCTACAGATGCTCAAAGGAACTCTTGCTTTATGATGTTTGGAGGCAGACTGCAACATTCAAGCAGCAACTGGATCTGAGACATAGGTTTGCTCTCTTGCATGTGAGTGCCTGAGCAAGGGAATCTGACTGACAGCTCATTAAACAGCATATTAGTACAGGAAGGCAGAATGGGCTGTTGGAAGATAGGACAACCCCACCTGCCTTCCTGAGGTATGTCCTGAAATATTTTCGTGGAACACTTAAAGTCAGCCTATAGTAGCTGCCACCTCTTCCTCCCCTTTGTCCCTCAGCCAGCATGCTATTTCAACTAAAAAAAGAGAAAGAAATGGGGCTGAATGAGCCGCTTACTTCCTCGCCCAGGCAGAGGAATTCTGTTCATGTCATTTCTCTGCTTTTCAGAATATTGTGATACAGAAAATTTTGCTAAAGAAGCATCATGGATTTTTTTGGCCCATTCTGGAAATTCACTGTGGTTAATGCAAATATTAAGTAAACCATGGGACCTCTGATCTTGGAATATGAAGAAGAAACAGTGCAGTTAGGTTAACGTCTCAGCAGAGGAAAACAGAGTTACTGCTATTTAAACTATCCAGAGAAATCTCTAGCCCTTTGTGGGGGCAGATGAATTTTCTCCCCTCTTTGCGTCCTACAGGCCTTAGTGGCGAAAAGGAGCAGCTCCATTCAGCCCCTCTGAGCAGCCAGAGTTTAATCCACTAACTTTTTCCTAAATCCAGACTTTACTGCTAACCCACCTGCTTTGCCTCAGCTTAACTGGCACTAATAAATATGTTGTTATCAAACTAAGTTATTGGGACTGTTAAGGGTACGTCTCCCAGCTCCGTCTGACTTCATAGAGGAGCTGTGGGAGCAGAGAGAAATGGACAGCTAACAAACTTGGTAAGCTAACAACAGCCAAGCTGCAGTGAGAAGCTTTTGCCTGGAGAATAACAATAATTGATAACAGCACAGGAATGAAGGAGAAGACTCCGGGGCTTTGGTACCTAAGGATCAATGTGTCTCTCACTGAATCTCTCTCCCTCACACACATACATAGTTTTAAAACGGCACAAGAGCAGCAGTGCCATCTCTCTTGTCCTGTTCTGGATAACTGAGAATCATTTCAAGCATTCAGAAACGTTGTGCTCTGAACTGGAATGAAAGTAGAGTGGGCTTCCATCTCCCCTTGGTCCAACATATCCTGTGCTTAAATCTAAACTTTTATACTGTGTATAGGGGATAATTTGCACAGCTCGCCCTGTGCATTTCGAAGAGTCAGCCCCTGTTGCCTTCTTGGGCACATCACTAATTCAGTGCTGAATGGATCCACCATTTGCAAAAATACTGGATAACTGAAATTACTCCAGCAAAACACACACTAGGACCGCTTTTGGTTTAGATACTGTGAACCTAGTGATTTCTGTCTCCAATCATTTGGACTAATTTTTCTCCCTTTTTTGCTTGTTTGTGTCTTTATGTTGCTACCTTCCCCCCCCCCAGTCTTTGTAATACGGTTGTGCCCTCTTGTGGGTCCGGTGCGGGGCTGAGCCCCCCTCTCCCTTCCCAGCTCCCCCTGCAGGAACAGCCGAGCCATGAGAGGACGGAAGAGCAGCAGCCAGAAGTTTCTCCTTTTGGACTGGTTTCTCTGCTAACACAACGAGGCATTTCAGCGTGGGGCAATGTGGGGGCAGCTGGAACCTTGACCTGGTTTCCCGGGAGCTCAAGCCCTCCGTGTGGGTTGCCTCCTCCCTTGCCTTCGCTGTGGGGCGGCCGCTGGGACGGCCTAGCCGAGTGGGCCTTGGGGCCGCGTCCATGGCCACGGAGGACATCTGAAGAGGGCAGCCAGAAGAGCATCTTCAGTTTGAATCTGGTGGAGAAACTGCAGCAGCTGGGGTTGGACAAAGTGGTGGCTAGGGGAGAGGCTTCATACGCCACCTTGCATCTACAGGGCCTTCACCAGAGGAAGAGAGACCTATTGTGACTCCACTGTTCCCATTGCCCTCTACTGGTGATGCTTTGGTTAGCAGCAAGAATGTTCCCTTGAGCTGCTTCCTGAACAGTTGTGACAAAGCCAGCTAGCAATGTGGCTGGAGCTTTGGGCTCATCTTTTGGGGGTCCCTGCAGGGGGTTTCGAGGCAGGGGGAAGTGGGGCTCTACCTGGAATAATGTCCCCCTTCCCACTGCCTGTGATAACGACGGGTGGGGAGTCTTCATTTGGATGTTGGCGTTGTCAGCTCTACAGACAAACTATCACGACTTCCTTGCATCTCCATCCCGGGAGCTTTGTCTCCATGGGGCAAGGGACCTTCCTGTCTCCACTGGATTTAGGAGTATTTATGGGAAACTACAGTTCCCAGAATTCCTCAGAAAGGCTTGGCCAGGGAAAATGGAATAAACCATGCTGTTGAAACCCCTTTTAAGTTGATCTCTTTGGGGAATAACTTCCTTTCTGACTTTGGGCAGTCCCTTGGTTTCACCTGAGTGCACAGAACACAACACTGTCTGAGGTAAGAGACAAGAGGCTGTCGAAGAAGGAGAAGGAGCAACCTCAGACCTCACAGCTGAGGGAGCAAAGCATGGCGGTGGCAGGGAAGGCTGAAGTTGGAAGTGGGGTGTTTGGAGGGGTTGACATGAGGACCAAGTTCACACAAGCTCATCCTTTGGTGGACTGTGTTAGGTCCCTCATCCCCTAACCATCTCTGCTTTACATAGATTGCTTTCTCTGTGAATTCCTGTGAAAAAGTTAAAAAAAATAAGTTTATGTGTATCTCTGTGTGTAGAGTGCAAAGCTTGAAAAAATATTTTATTTGGACTACGAATTTTAGAATCCCTCTAGCCAATAATCATTCTCACTGGGAATATTTTTTTTTTTGGTAGTCTTAAAAAACAATGCATTCAGAGTCTAACAAATCATGTTAACTCTTGCATTTAAGACACAATCAATGGGATAAGAAGTGATTTCGGTGGGGCTTTGGGGGGCAGACATTACCTGGTTGATGGATGATGCAGTTCTTCTTGTCTGCAGTAGTTCTCCTACCACCAGCCATGATAGCATTTTTAGCTATGAACAGATGCAGTAAGGGATATTCTGCAGATGTATATTCTTAACGTTTGGCAAGGTTTTGGCACTTGAAGACACTTTTCCAAAATATGGGAAAAGTGGGCAAAGAAGGCTGATCAGGCTCTATATGGAGTCTGTATCACACTCGTCAACCATGTTCTTGTCCCCTTTCTTCTCTAGAGTCTGGTCCTCAAGGGCTGGCTTTCCCCTGAACCCTATTCCTCTCCTTTTCGAGGGGGCAATACTTTCCACTTACTGTCATGGCTAAGAAATTTCTTCCACTTGATTCCTCTTTGCCTGCACACTATAGCTGAAGTTTTAATAGGGAGCAGCCTGTTGCTTCTTACTGAATCTGTGTGTCTCTTTTCTCTTGTAGTAGGCTTGGAAAAGCTACTTTCTGTTTTTGGACTAGATTTCCCAGAACTCCCCAGCTAGGATGGCCACCTTGTTGGCCGGATGATTCTGGGAGCTGCAGCCCAAAAAGGTCGTTTTTCTAAGTTATGACCTAAACTCTATTCCTCTCAAGCCTCTTGTCAGTGTCCATGTTTTCAGACTTAAGAGCCTAATGTATGGTTGGTCTCCACAGATGCTTTGTTTTCCTTTTTGAAGAATGCCTGCCGTTTCCATCTATATATGTTAAATTATAACCCTCCTTTCTCCATGGGCCCGCCTGGATCTCTACTCCTCGCACGCTCCTTTATGTGTGCTGCACAAATAGCTGTTTGCACGCCTGCTCCCAAAGCCAGGCCTCTTCCCTCCTTGGCTCACCCATCTTGACACTTCCTTGCCCTTGTTCTCCTCCCTGTGTCTGTTTTGGTGAAAATAAAACAATGGTGTTGATGTTGCCCTAAGCCTTGTCTCTTGTGGTGCTTTTATGGAAGGTACATTATTTTCCTTTTTGTTCCATCTGGCTTTATGTTATCACCAGCATCATCAGGTAAAGCTCTTTGTAAGCCTAATCAGTTTAAGCTGTAAAGGGGTAGCTCATCAAGAGAGTTATACGGACTAAATAGATATGAGGCAACACAGTGCAAAGAAAGGAGACAGGTCCCCACCGAAGTGTGGTGGCTACAATGGCTCCATTCTCCTGTCTTTATGCTCCTTTTCCAGACGAAGCAGAGATCAAATGAAAACTTCAAAGGAGGGTTATGTCTAGCCCTTTCGAATGGTAGGTCATTTAACTATTTCACTGCTTCTTTTCCTCCCTCAACTTCATTTTAGTGGCCAAAATCACGTTGCTTGGCATAGTAAATTGCACTAGAGTGGACCCATTGAATCAATGGCTATTTGGTATGTCAACTCCATAGTAAGCTATCACTTCCTACACTAAAGTAAGACACTGTAAGAGGCGGCCCATTTGAATCAACTGAACGTAGTGGAGTTGACTCACCAAATCCCATTGGTTCAGGGGACCCACTTTAGTGTGATTTTCTATACTAAACAACAGGATTTTGGCCCCTGCACATCAAATCACCTTTTTCTGCCACCTCTGTCTTTTCTCATGTCTTTCTATTCGGAGTATAATATTACTAGTTGTAAATGACATATGTGCCAATAGGTATAAAACTAAGGCTGTAGTGCTGAGTTGGCTGATGAAATTTGCAGTCAAGCTATATCTAGAGGGCCACACATTGCACAGCATCTTTGGACTTCTAGTACCATCAACCGAAACATCCACATTTATAATATGACAGACCATCTCTTTCTGTTCTTTGGATCCACACGGTGAGTTAGTAATATGAAACCTAAAGCATAATAAAACCACAGTTTGCTTGCATTTCCTAAAATACACTTTCAGATAGCAGTGTCTTAACCTGCTGCTTGACTTGAGGGTGTTCTCCGATTGTGATAGGCCCTCTGTGATTTACCAAGGAGCTACAAGAACATCCATGATTCTCTGTCAAGGAGGCACAGTGGAGAATCAAACTCTCAATCTTGGGCTCTGCAGCCAGATACCAAAATCACTGAGCTATCCGGCAGTTCTGTTAGGTCTGTATAAAATGAAGTACTGAAGTGTCTTGTCTGATGCCAAGTTGAAGTGCGCTTAGTCTGTGAGCCTTAAGTTAGCCATATTAGTGTTTATCTGGAAGCACAACCTACAACGGGGAAAACAAAGCTTAGCTGCAGCAGGATCACAGGACTCTGCAGCCAGATACCAAAATCACTGAGCTATCTGGCAGTTCTGTTAGGTCTGTATAAAATGAAGTACTGAAGTGTCTTGTCTGATGCCAAGTTGAAGTGCGCTTAGTCTGTGAGCCTTAAGTTAGCCATATTAGTGTTTATCTGGAAGCACAACCTACAACGGGGAAAACAAAGCTTAGCTGCAGCAGGATCACAGACCTGTAGTGGTACTGGAAGCCATCTAGTCCAACCTCTTCCTGCTCAATACAGGAATTTCAGAGGTAGGGCAGTTCTGGCAGGTAACCACCCAGCCTCGGTGTGAACATCTTCAGCAGAAGAGAGCTCACTAGTCTGGCTGAAGAGATGCATCTCAGTCAATCATTACTCAGCAATGACGTAGCCAATCAGGACAGACTGTGATGGCTGGAGCTGACAGTTAAACTATCAGATAGGGCTGCACTGTGAAAGGAGTTAGGTGGAATTATACAGGTAGTGCTAAGCTGAGATTTCCCCAGGGTGAGGGGAATAAAACCTCAGTGGGGAGCCAATACACTTAGAATGAAAAGAGAAATTATTTGCCCATTCAGAAAGAATTTTAATGAGCAAAAAACTGGGTTCAGGTAGTAGAAATGCCTGAATGTTGCCTTTTCGATTCCTCTGAACCAGGGGTCAGGGAACTTTTTTACCTTTTACCCCCCCAAAATTTTATATATGCCAACATTACCCCTTGATTTGAAAGGAAGGAAATCATACATTATTTAAATTCAAAATATTATTGAATCTACACAGGCTGTGTACTGAACTAGCGGGATATATAATCAGTATCAATGGCTGCCAGGCTACGTACTGAACTAGCAGGATGCACCAAATTTAATAAAGATGTGCATTATTTTTGCTGGAACACATTGCACTCCAACCATGGGGTATTATAGGGAGTAGTAAGATGTCCAATGTGCCTAGCAAGTTGCATTGAATTTTTGCTAGCTCGCAGAGGATTTAATCATCATCAATGGCTGCCAGAGTGGGGCTAGCAATGACATGCTTGCTAGAGAAAGCCAATGAAGAGTTGGGGGGGGGCTTTTCCTACCACTTTAATCATTCTCCAGTTTGAGGTTCGTCTGCAGGGGGTGGAAGTGGGTGGATGGGGGGTAGCACTCTGCTCATTACCCCCAGGATTTTCATTTTTACCCCATTTGGGGTAATTTACCCCTGTTCCCAGACCACTGCTCTGAACTGATCAGTATGAAAGTTCGGTGCCTTGAAATGGAGAAGCCACTAAACCTTTAAACCACTCTAAATGGCTATCAATAAAACCACATTTTCAGGTTCCAGCTGACGCCATACTGTAGTGTGTTTCCGTCCCCTAACACAAGGAATATTCAGTTCAGAGAACTGCAAATGTTTAAAGGTTGCCAACCTATTGTCGTTACACACTGCCAAATTGCCTCCAACACATGGCAACCCTGTGAATGTCCTGTCCTCAGAAGCCCTGCCCAGCTCTTGTAAACTCTTTCTTTTTAGGGAGTCACTCCATCTCATATTTGGTCACCCTCCTTTTCCTGCAGCCTTACATCTTTCCCAGCGTTATTGTCTTTTCCAGAGAATCCTGTCTTCTGATGTGACCAAAGTAGAAAAGACTCAGTTTCAACACTTTCGCCTCCAAAGATGGTTCAGGTTTGATTTGATCTAGGGCCCATTTGTTTATCTTTCCGGCAGTCCAGGATATCAACAGATCTCTCCTTCAGGACCACATTTCAAATGAATGTATTTCTTTCTGGTCAGCTTTCTTTATTGTCCAGCTTTCAGAGTTGTACATAGCGATCAGAAATACCAGAGTGTAGATTATCTTGGTCTTGGTCTCTGGTTACATTCTGACAGTTGATGATCTTTTCTAATTCCTTCATTGCTGACCTTCTGAGCCTCTTGTCTTCTGATTTCTTGGCTGCAGTCTCCATTTGGATTCATGATTGAAGGTATTCAAAATCATTCACCATTTAAATTTCTTCATTGTTGACATTCCTAATCTAGGCTTAAATTTCACATTTGATTTCTTGGATCTTCTGGAAGAGATCTCTTAACTTTTCCCACTTTGTTACAGTGGTGCCTCGCTTGACGACGTTAATTCGTTCCAGCAAAATCGCTGTAGAGCAAAAACATTGTCAAACGAAATAAAAAACCCATTGAAACGCATTGAAAACCGTTCAATGCTTTCCAATGGGCTGAATACCTTCTCGTCCAGTGAAGATCCTCCATACGACGGCCATTTTCGGTGCCTGTAAAGCGAGGAATCCGTCCTAGAAAACAGTGGGGGGCCATTTTTTCAGCTGGCGGCCATTTTGAAACCCAACGATCAGCTGTTTGCTGATCGTCATAAAGGAAAAATCGGTTCCCGAAGCAGGGAACTGATCATCGCACGGCGAAAACCCCCCATTTAAAACATCATTTTGCGATCGCAAAAGGGATCACAAAAACATCAACGTAAAGCGGATTCGTCATAGAGCAGGGTAATCATCCAGCGGGGCACGACTGTATTCTCCTCTATTTCTTTGCGCTGGTTGTTCT